GAAATAATGATCGGTGTACTTGTTTAAACTTGGTGTATATGCGACAGTGTACTGCTAGTGTACATGTTTTTCGGTGTATGTGTAACTACACCTACTTTTACTGATCACGTATACGAACGCTTTTCTTTCTGAAGTTCCGATTTTGAAGCGTTTTATGAATATTTTAAAAACAGGAATGCTATTCCTTTTTCTTTATAAAGTTTAAATGTTAATAACGATGTTATGTTCTCATTCAGTCATTCATTTCATTTGTCATTGGTGAACGAAGTCAGCGCAATAACTCATTTCATATGTATACTTGCGCTGTAAACATACTAATGTCATTTGAAAACTATTCTTATACTTGCATTATCCATATATAGTTCTGTCTTTTGCTGTTGTTAATGTCTGTGTTGGATGCTTGTTTTGAATAGTAATTATGAGATTAACTAAAATGTATGCACAAACACTTTACTCTTCATTTCAAGGAGTTTGCTAATGAGCTTCATATTTCTTTTGCTCTGCCTTGATGTTGCTAAGAATCCTCAACTATACAGATGAAACTAGGCTGGTTGTCTTCGATATTCACATTTCGAAAATGATTTGTTTCGTTCTCTTTCAGTACTCAACATTCCTGTTAAATACATCCATTCGATAAGTCCAAGTATACTGATGATCATGTGAACTGTATGTTCATCGGGCTATGTGTTGTGGATCTTTATTTGTGCGCTCTATTTCATTACACCTGCGCATCTAACTTCCGTTAAATTCGAATCGATTAGTTTCCATTGTTGTATGTATCGATTTTGAACGAATGCGTTTCTGTATTGTGCTTTATTGGTAATTATATTTCGTTCGATATATCTCATCCATTCTCGTTGACAATGTAATATGTTATTGAAATGTCTATTGATACTCGTTTATTACAGATTATGGCGTATGATGCAGTTACAGAAGCGCATGAGAGGCTTAAAGAAACTAGTGATTTATTAAAGGAAACAATCGATATGAAACGAGGTAATTCAATTAAGTCTCAAATGACCACAATTTCATTTTCAGTTCACAAACTAGCATCTAGTAATGGTCGCTTAACATATGATAGAATGATTATGCATGAAAGACATTTATTTCCGGATATTAGAGTAAGAAGAGATGTGGCAAAGTACTTATATGCTAGAAACACTATTGTACGTTCTATTATTACAAAATATAATATAATAATCACTTTAAGATGAAATTATGGTATTCTAAGCCTCATGTTGAGTTGACGTTAGGAAAGGTCCTTTCCCAGTTATCACGACTGAAACGTTGGTTATTTCAAATTATTTCAAATAATATTTGTTATATTTCAGATGATGTAGTCTTAGTTTCTAGAGTTCATTCGTATTTGATACGATATGGTTATATCAATTTTGGTTTATTCAGATTTATAATAGGTACGTAGATAATGAGAAAATCTCTTTGATTCATTCTTTTTACTTTTTATAGAACCTAAGTTGAGATGTGATAAGAAAGTTATTATTGTTGGTGCTGGTCTTGCTGGTTTGAGTGCAGCTCAACAGTTACTCAAATGTGGTATTGATGTTGTTGTTCTAGAGGCGAATGTACTTAAGTTATTCCAATATTTTATTTATATTTTGATATTGTAGACACGAGTAGGAGGAAGGATTTATACAGCTAGTCATCAAAGAGTAGGAGGTGGACGAGACTTTGCTGATCTTGGAGCAGCCACTGTTAGGTCTATAAGTAAGAGTTATAATATAATTTATAATGTGAAATTTATTACTTTCAGAAGCTAACCCATTAGGAACTCTTCTAGCACAATTGAGTTGTACACCATTTTCAATATCTAACAAAATTCCGTTATATAATTCTAAAGGAATGATACAGAGTTCAGTTAGGAATACGCTGATGAAGCATTTGTTCAAGTAAAATATATTTCCATGATATTTATAACTTTAATTTTAATTTAGTCATGTTATCAAGTTAATCGGACAGGCTAACTCAGAAGAAGCTATGATAGACGGTGATGGTAAAGAGCTTGATCTGGAGAGATCAGTCTTCAATATGATTCAGTAAGCAGTTTATCTTTTTTTTAATTTGAAAGTATCGTTTTCAGAGCTCTAGAAATAGAAAATCAGTACACTAGGAACAAATATTGGCATACTTTTGGGGACAAGTTAACAGAAATACTTCAAGCGAATGACGATGTTTGGGAAAAACCTCATTTCGATTTACTTATATGAGCTTACAGAAGAACAGTGAACTAGCTTTGAGTAAATGTCCTCCATCTGTAAGCTCCATCCAAATCATTCCGCAAAAGTCAGAAAATTTGACTCAAGCAGAAATCGAAGCAAGGCGCTATGTTGATGAATTGAACAGCAAAACTCAAGAAGTAAATTCGAAAATCTCATTTCACCAAATTGTTAATCTTTTCAGAGAAGAGAAAAAGAGGAAGCTGCAGCAAATGAACAAAGAAAGAAAAATGATTATTCGAGGCGGTGTGCACCAGCGTTCGTAGTTCAAATAATATTCAGAGCTTACTTTGGTTTTTTCAGTGAGCAGTATATTGTAGAGCAAGATATGAAACTGCTGAATTATCATAAAGCAGTTTATGAGGGTAATCATGGTGCTCCTCTTAGTTTTCTTTCTTCCAAATTTTCTTATATGCATGAACAGTATCGCAGAGATAACAATAATATTGAGGGTTTGCTTTGGTTCTTCTTTCAGTAAATGATTTTTCTTACAGTTAAAGAAGGTCTTGGATATTTAATGAAAAAAATGGCATCTCGATTAGAAAACAAGATTGAGTTAGGCATCAAAGTAACGGAAATAGATTATAGTAGAGAAGGTTTGGCATTCATCAAAACGTTTGATAATTATTCTTTTAGGAGCTGTAAACGTGAAATACAAGAAAAAAGGATCAGATGAAGTTTTTTTTGTAATGCAAGGAGCTTGTGTCTTAGTCACTGTACCTCTCGGAGTGTTGAAAGAAGTAGCGGAGAATAAGAAAGATTGTATGAAGTTTGTTCCTCCTTTACCGCAGCTCAAGTTGGAAGCTATTAAAGCCATGGGATGGGGCCATGTAAACAAGGTTGGAACATTTCTTTACGCCTTACTATTATTTTCTTTTGAGGTTTCACTCTGGTTCGACGAACAGTTTTGGAGTACAACAGCTCATTGCTTCGGGTACTTGAACGAAGAACCCGTTGAAAGAGGCAATATGTATTTCTTCACTTCTGCTCCTGGCTCACTTGTTCTAACCGCAATGCTGTCTGGAAAGTCAGCTGAATTTGAAAAGGGAGACGAGGTAAGATTTGTCAAGTCTCATAGCTTATGCTCTGATTGCAGGATATGATGAAAGATTGTTTGCATGTTTTAAAAAACATTTTCGGCGAGAAAAAAGTCCCAACTCCTCTGAAGTGTGTAGTGAGTCGTTGGCACCAAGATCCGAATATAAGAGGAGCTATGTCTTATTTACGGCCAGGAACGAGTCGTAAGGAGATTTCACTTGTATCAACGAAAAATTAATTATTCTAGCACGTGTATGTGATTTGCTTGCGCGAACGCTTTACACAATGTCTGATGATGATAAGGATTTGCGTTCAAAAGTTTATTTCGCCGGAGAGCATACATCTAGAGATTTCCTGGGAACTCTTGAGGTAATATTGTGTTTCCTACTACTGAATAACATTTATTTACAGGGTGCATATTATAGCGGTGTGAGGGAAGCTGCAAAGATTATTGGTGGAATTCTGGGTAGCCCCTTCAAACACTTGCCCGAGTTTGTGGATCTATTCAAGAAAGCTGCTGAATACACACCTAACACGGAAGACAAACCTGAGAGTGAGGATTCTAGTTCCTCAACGCTACCTTCGGATACTGGAGAAAAAGTACGTGCTTGTAGTTCACCAAACAACGTCGTAGATGACACAACCAAGAATGCGCAGCCGCTTTCTAACCCTACTGAATGTGAATCAGTTAAAAACTCTTTTTCCTCTAGCCCCAAATTAGTATTAGAAGTAGAGAATGTGGAAGCATCTATGTTCATTAAAGAACCTGAAAAGAAATCTCTAAGTCCAAAACGAAACACTGACCCACAGGTTGAAAGCGTTGGAAGAGGATTGCTATCGAAGATTGAAGCAGATTTTCAAAAAGAAGTTGTTATATCTTGTGCAACAGAAGGAGCTGACGAAATGAAATGCAAACATCAGTCCGCAACTAGTTCCTCCAATGGAAACCATCAAGAAATTATTTCGTCAGTTAGGAAGTCAGTGGAAAAAGATTCTGAGGAGGCTCACTCATCACGGATAGAAGATGTTGAAAAGATGGAAGTTGATCAACCCGAAAGGGTTCCCCTGAAAATGAGAATCGATAAAAGATCGATGACGAAAGAACTCATTTTACGGCTATCATCAAAACCAGAAGCATCTAAAGTTTATACTGATACATCAAGTTCTTTACCATCGACACCCGAAGTCGATTCACCGAACCTTAGTATAGATAGAACTGAAGAATTTGCTACGCCTGAACTTCCTGATCCTGCTAATCGAAAGACTAGGAAGCGTTCGAACTCTCGTGTACAGATCGAAAACAAAACAAATAACGAGGACTCACCAACCCTATCATCCGATACGAGCATGGAGATGGAGCAAATACCAACCACAAGAGGAAGATCTCAAAAAGTTGCTCTTGCCACTTCGGACGGTACTTTGGACCCAGACGGTAACTGTATTTGGGGAGGAAGAAAGATCTTGAAGCCTAGAAAATGTGCCCAAGAGAGCGTTGAGAAAACGAAAGTAATGCAACGACCAGCGAAAAAACAAGCTAAAAAAGCTGCTGCATCTAAAGCTTCTAAGAAAGTACAAGTGGTGCAAGAAGAAAAACCATTTGTGGATCCACCAATTTATGGTATTTCTCCGATCGGAAATCGTAAAATTATTCCTACAAAAGAAGATGAAGAGCGTGACCAACGGAATAGCAACCCAGGAAGAGTCAACTACTTTCCGGCTTGGTTCACCGAAGGATCCAAGTTTCTTTTCAAAAAACCTGTTGGTTGTATTGAAATAGAACCTGAAAGGGAATTTGATGTTGTGTTAGAAGATCCATGCTTCGTTTCTCTGAGAAGAGGTAAAGTGAGAGTGGAGATCAATCAAGAGATCGAAGAGACACCTAAGAAGAGAAATCTTTGCGAAGACTGTAAGAAAACGTGCCCCAAAACACCAGTCACTACACCCGAGATGCCGAAAGAAAAGAAACGTGATGTTTTGAAGCAGCGAGCAGCTAGAACTAAAGCGGAGAAATTAATATCTGAATCTAGAGGATTGGAAAAGAAAAAACGTAACATCAGAAGAACTAGTTTCACCACTTGTAGAGTTATAAGTGATAGATCTTCATTCAAAAGAAGGAAAACATCCGGCTTTGAAGTTATGAATAGCCCTCCAACAGTTGTGGACGATCTTATAATTCTGAGTAGCTCTCCTTGCGAAGAAACGATCTCAACAGATTTTACCAAATCTTATAGAGCTTTCAGCAGTCCACCAAGAACTTTCAGCAACATTCCTGCTGTCAGCAGTTCTTCTAGAGCTTTTAGCAGTTCTCCCAGAGTTCTTAGCAGCTCAACAGTACACTCCAAACTCTCTAGCGTTGTTGGCGGTTTTTCTGAAGATCCTATCACTTTTCCTACAGCTCTCAGCAATAGTTCGGATTACAACAGCTCTACAGTTCTAAGCAGCCCGCCTAGAGCATTTAGCAGCTCTCCTAAAAATCTTGCCAGCCCTGAGAAAGCCCTCAGCAACTCTTCTAGATCTTCGAGCAATTCTTCTAGAGGTACAGTTAGTCCTGCCAAAGCCATGAGCAGCCCTCCTAAAACTCAACATAGTCCTACAACTGTGAGCAGCCCTTCCAGAGCTTTTAGCAGTTCTCCTAGAGATCTTCAAACTCCTTCAAAGGTTTCTAGAAGCCCCACAGTAATTAGCAGCCCTTCTAGAACGTACATCAGTTCTCCTAGAAATATCAGGAACTTGTCTTTGGAAAGAAATGAAGCATTAGTTGAGGGAGACGTGGATATGGAATTAGATGTCTCTGCTTACGAGGAAATTGAAACTACGTATTTCGAAAATCAAAATCATCATCGAAATAATTTCGAAGATAATATCGTTTCCCCTCAGGGCGTAGAAGAAGAGATGCGTAACGAAAACACAGCATTGATGCTGGATGTTTCGGCTTATGAGGAAGTTGAAACTACCGATGAATCAAATTCCAAGCATGACGAATACACCGAGACTGGAGCACCTGCCGATTTACCCTACTACGATGGAGTCACGGAATTAACTATGCTCGAACTGGAAAACGTTTCCAACAACAACACAGAGTATTGTGGGGACAACATTAATGCTAAAAAAGATCTCAGTGATTCTCATGAAGACCCCACGGATGATAGTGAAAGTACGGAATCTTCAAGCGAGAGTGACAAATCTGATGAGCCTGACGACCTGTATTCATCAGAACTAACTTTTGATGTGTCCGCATACGAAGAAGTTGAAACGACCGATCTGAACGGTGTTAGTCTTTCACGCGATGGGTCTGAAAATGATGAAATGTACTACTCTCCCAATGCAGAACCATCTAATGTGAATGCTGAAATCAATTATGCAGAAAACACAACTGTTGGATTTGAAAGTCAAACAGCAGGGGAATCAACGAATACAAACTCTTCCAACGCTTTGAACCTCATTCTTTCTGCTTACGGTGAAGATGATCTCGAAACAACGTCATCGGATTCAGTGTTGTCGTCTCCAGACGAATCAATTCTAGATGAGCAGTTACAAGATGATGAAACAACAATCATCGTACCTGATTTTGAGCCCCAAAATTGAAAGTTATCTTTATTTTATCATTTATTCATTCCCAAACAAGTCAACATGAACGTAGTCATTTCTCAATCTAGTCATATACAAAACAAAGTTGAGTTTGTAACAAATTAAATGAGATCTCTCCAAACTTTATGTGCATGTTCTATCTGTTTATTGTATATCTCATAACCACGGTGTTCTCTTCTTCACTTTCCATTTATGTTACTAATCATGTACCAGTTATCAAATAACTATAATCTCATTATCATTATCATTATCATCATCATCATCATCATTCGTATCAAAGATCTTTACATTGCATTCTATATTTTCATAATAACATAATAGTATATTCTAGCAAATTCGAATGCAAAAATTTGTATTATATTAAGATTATAATAATGTTTTAAAATTCTTTTTTTTTTCTCCCTAATTGTATGTACATATTTGATAAACCTTGTTGTTTCTATTTTATTTCGAAAATGTTGAAACGCTATCTGATTGAATGATTTTTGTATTATTTCTACGAGATTACATTGATTATTGTTTAATAAATACTGATGCGAATGTTCTTAAAAGCTTGGAGGGTAAGTCTGTTCCAACTCTTGTTCTTCATATTTGAATCGTGTTCCAATGGGTACAGCTCGATTGATCTTAGTTGTGATCTCTGCAGCTTCACTCTCATAGTTTGAGACTCCAAAAGGATAGGCCTTCAATATTGTAAATAACTCAGTTTATATCTATTCACCTACTGGTCTTCGTTGTAGGACCAAATCAAAGATGTAAACAATGACCATTAAGAACTCAAGAACCTAAACAAAAATAATTTTTCTTTGTTCTCCAACGAGAAACGTACGGCAGCTGCAATCCATTGACCTCTAATATGCCCTAATCCTCTACCTTGGTAGTTAACCTAGACCAATGTGAATTAAAATAATTTCTTTGAGCAGTTGAGTCAACCTCTGGGTCCCCTGTAAGCACAGCCATCCAGGTTCCCAACAATCCACAGATGAACATCAATACGACTCCAAGTAAGGCATATACTTTCTCCTGTAAGTGAAACCAACAATTGAAATATAAAAAACTGAAAAAACCAGGGCAAGTGTGAGTCCTCTCATTGCCCTATGACCATTTAAGGAGAACAAAAGCAGAACAATAGTACAGAAGAGAGAGAGAGCCAAGAAGATGATTAAAACAAAAACCTGAGAAGATAAGGTTGAGAAAGTTTTAGGAACAATGAGATTACTTGACCAAGTGCAGTGTATCCGAATACGTTCATTATCATAGTGCAGGCATCACCACCACATGTGATTTGAACAAGCCATTGTAGAAGGAAGAACATTGCCTGAATCAATGAGTCAGCCAATTACCGTAATATGGAAATGATCTCACTAAATGGAAAAAACGAAATAATCCCATTGGATGGGCCCACATGCCAGGAGTACATTCGATGTCTTGTTCTTCCACAATCTGTCGAGAGAAAACAGTTTTGAATGTGATGAAGGTGACAAACCATCTCATCTTCAACAGATTCCTCATCTATGTTTGTTAGTCGATCTCCATAACGTGATGACATTCTGTAAATGAAGAAGCTTGTTTGAATTAGAAATAAGGAGCTATCAAATGAATCCAAAACGCCTTGAGCTGTTATCTAATGGAATAGTCAACTGTTAATCAATTGACATTCAAATGATAATTCTATATTGATAACGTTTAATCAAACAATCAGTGTAATTAAGTTATTATT